GCCGATGGGTGCCCGGGGGGGTCACAGCCGGGAGTGGAGAGATAGGTCGGCGCTAAGAAAAGGGACGGTCATACTAAAGGACACGTCGAGGAGGGATGAGAGGAGTGCAATCACCTGCGGCGAATGGATGCACGTGACCCATGTAGGCTGCGATCGAGGCACTACAGCGGTGTGTGGGTTAGCGCCTTAGTGGCGTTTTGCTTTGTACTCCCTACGCTGCTGCGGAAGAGAACCCGCTATGTGGGTGTCAGGAAGGAAGGAGAGTGGTGGAAGGCGAACCACGGAGTGAGTCGGCGAGCTCCGCGGCCGGAAGATTTCGTCGACAATCATACAACAAATGGATATGGACACAGGGAACGATAAAAACTTGCAGGATCTCGGATGCCTGCACCGGTCTCCCGGGGGTAGTGTCCCCGCTCCCGGGCGATCGACTCCCGAGGCTTCGGGCCCGGGAGGCTCATGCCAGGGGCAAACCGTGGAGTGGCCGACGGGCTTCACGGCGAATATGGCTACCGGCCGGACAAACGAAGAGGAGGCGGCAAGATTGACAGGGAAGGAAGGTATACATTCTAAGGCAGGAGAGACTGTGGAGACAACTCCGAAACCTCAGAGCAAGAGAGGGAACAATAAAGAACTCCGACTGCTGCTGGAAAGGACCGAGATAGAGGAGGTCAACCAGGGCGGACCAACTAGGGGACCAGCAATGTCGGACCTAGCCACAGGGGCGAGAAGCCTGAGATCCAGGGCAACAAGAGGTACCGACGCAAAGTATCCTAAGGAAACAAGGATCAGGGTTGTCGGCGGGGAGATAGTGGACTCCCCAGTGGCTGAAAGCTCAACGGGCACGCCCATGGGAGAAATCGCACCGGTGAAAAATAAGGGTACGATCGACCTCACGGCAGCGATGAGTGACACTGGGGAGAATAGTGTCGCTAATAGCACGGGCACAGTGGAATTCACGTCGATGACTGAAGCAGAAAATACTGAGTCGTCCTTCGAAGAAATACCGCGTAAGGGCAAGAAGAGAGGACGCAAGCCCAAAGGAAGTAACGTGCCAGGATCACATGCGCTGTCAAAGATCTCTTCCAAGCGCATGGAATTCGAGGACGATGAATTGGACAGAGAAGATTTTTTCCAAATCGCAAAGAAAGCCGTGCACGGCATGAAAAAGAGGAAAGGTCTGGTCGAATGCCAACTTGACGACAGACTGTCCTCAAAACAGAAAGACGCGATAGAAGAGGTGACGCTACTCTTTCCACAGATGTCCCCTAAATCGATAGTGGCGGAAACTCTGAGAGTATTAGACCTGGCGGGAGAAGCGGAAAGAAGGACGCAAACTATGAAGGGGGATTTACGACGACAGATGAAGGTAGGGGTCAACGTGGCGAAGATCGCCATACAGCGACTCGTCTCAGATATCGCCAAAAGTACGGGACCCGTGGACGAGGTGAGAAACAGCAACCTCGCCTTGGAAAGAGAAGTCCTCAAGATGAGGAGAGAGATGGATACTCTGAGGAGGGAGAGAACCGCACTTAAAGATCAGGTGGAAACCCTCACACGAACGGTTCAAGATCTCAGAGAGAAGGAAGAACGTAGAGGACTTGGACGAGAAGGAATAAATCTCTCGCAGTTAGAGGAAGAAACAGCGGACGAATTCCCGGCATCGAGGACACGGAAGGGAAAAACCCAAACCTCGGTCCTAGTCGAGTCGGATGAGATGAGCGAGGCCCTCCTACCTCCGGTGTATAGGCCGGCGCTAGGAGGTGTCTGAAAAAGGATGGAGGATAGACCGCGAGCGTGGACGTCACCGGTAGGATTGTGACGAGTGCGAGTGAAGGGACTCGGGAGGAACAACGGACTACGAGCAGGGCGGTAAGAGCAAGCGAAACACGTGCGAGAGACAGTTCTCTATCCCCAGCACGAGAGTATCCGGCTGAAGGGGATGAGTGGACGAAGGCTAAAAGCAGGAGGGCATTAAAAAGGGCCAGGAGGAAAGAGAGGGAGAAAACAGCTCCGGAAAAAGACGTTCGGCGGGAGGTGGCGCTGGAAAGAGCCGCCCGACCCACGAGGGACAGGAACCTACGTAGGACGACGGAAGTAGCGATCAGGGAAGCCCCAGAAGGAAGAAGAACTGGGGGAGCTATAAACCGGACTACGAATAAAATACCGGTGCGACCGGCAGCGAAGGACCCGCGATTCCGAGCCCACAGGACCGCAGCAGTCCTGCTGAGATGCGAGGAGGCAGGTGGGAATTCCGCGCCGACGTATGCAGACGTCATGAGGATGGCGAGGGACAAGATATCCCTGGAGGAGTTGGAGATATCCAACACCCGGATATGAAAGGTCCAGGCAGGGGGATTACTCATTGAAATCCCGAGCGGAGAAGAGGCCAGTGCGAAGGCGGAGGCGCTCGTTGATCGGCTGAAAACGGTAATCGCCGAGAGCGAGTTTGAGAAGAAAGTGAGCGTGATACGCCCGGTGCAGAGAGCGGAGGTCAGGCTGATCGATGTAGACCAGTCAGCCACGGTGGAGGAGGTGATCGCGGCGGTGTCCAAATGCGGAAAGGTGCCTGCTACAAGTATTAGAGCAGGCCCATTGAGGCAGGGCAGGGGCGGCCTGAGCACCGTATGGATACAGTGTCCGTTATCGGGAGCGAACTTGATGCTCAGCAGCGGTAAGCTGAGAGTCGGTTGGACTATGGCGAAAGTTGTCCCACTGGCAAAAAGGAGGCTGCAATGCTTCCGGTGCCTTGCGGTGGGACATACCAGAGCCAACTGTCTAAGCACCGTGGACAGATCGGCATGGTGCTTCCAGTGCGGGGGAAGCGACGGCCATAGGGCTTTCGGGTGTCGAGCTTCGCCGAGATGCCCAGTGTGTGCCGCGAGAGGTATGAATGCGAACCATAGAACGGGATCCGTGTCGTGCGTACCGTATAACGGGAGAGGACAGACACCGCGAAACGAGGAAGCAAACGTGGTAGGAACAGAGGAAGCGAGCGAGGGGGCCGATCGGGGGGCCCAGGCTCCAGGGTCTGCGAGAGCAGAGGGTATGGAGACTTGTGATGGCTAGGTTAGTGCAGATTAACGTTAACAGGTCGAGGCCCTCGCAGGACCACATAGGTAAGGTCTCCGAAGAAATGGACATCGGATTGGTCGCTGTGGCGGAACCTGCCCGTATACCGGACGGCGGTAAATGGCTCGTCTCCACGGACGAACCACCGTCCGCAGCGATAACGTGGCACTGGGGTAGGCGCTAGGACACCGTGTGTACCCCGGTGCAGAGGAGCGAGGTTCGTGGCTGTGGACTGGGGGGACGTGACGATTGTTTCGTGCTATTTCCCCCCCAGCCTCAGTCACGCCGAATTCGTCCACGACTTAGACGAAATGGACGACAAGTTACGGGATGTGCTACGGAGGGGACATCCAACGATAGTGGCTGGTGATTTTAACGCCAGAGCGTAGGCCTGGGACCCGGAACGGCCGAACAGGAGGGGAGGCATCCTTCTGGGCTGGATGGGGACGAGGGGACTGCAGCTCATCAATAATGGAGGCGAACCCACGTGCGTGCACCCCCGCGGAACATCCGTCGTTGATGTCACGATGGCAACGCCAACCGCAGCCAGGAAGGTTACTGGCTGGCGTGTCGCGACCGAGCTGGAGTCTCTATCGGACCACCGATACATCCTAATGGACGTGGGAGCCTTGTTGAGGGGCACGGAGATAGGAAGGACAGCGCTAAAGAAATTCCCGAGATGGGTCACGCGACGCATCGATCGGGAGATGATGGAGGCGGCAGCGGTGTTCTCGGCATGGGAAGGAGTGCAAGAGGACGGTGCCCGGAGCGCCAGGAGGATCGATGAGATCTTGCGAGACATAGCGGATGTAGCAATGGTTAGGAAGGGACCCTCTAAACGTCCATCGGTGTACTGGTGGAACGAAGAAATCGCCGAGCTCCGACAGGCCTGTAATACATGGAGAAGAAGATTCACACGAATAAGAGGGAGAAGACGCGCCAGTCCTGAAAATGTTAGAACACTGTGGGATGGCTTGAAGGAGGCCAGGCGAGAGCTTAGGAGGGCCATAAGTAGATCTAAGGCCAAATTGTGGAAAGAGCCGGTGAATGATCTCGATAGGGACCCATGGGGAATGCCCTATAGAGTAGTCACCAAGAAGCTGTCGACCGGCGGTGCCTCTATCGTGGAGACCCTACCACCGGACGTCGCGAAAGGGATAGTGACTGTGCTGTTCCCAAAAGGAACTGCAGCCCAAAACAACGGGACGACGACGGAGTGGCAGGAAGAGCTCGCGGTGACGCACGAGGAGGTATTGGAAGCCTGCGCGGGCGTTAAAATCGGCAAGGCTCCAGGACCGGATGGTATACCCGGATGTGTCATGAAGGAAACGATAGGACAGCTCATCCCTCTTTGGGTGAAGTGCTTTACGGAGTGCCTCAAGGAGGGATGCTTTCCCCGGCAGTGGAAGGTCGCGAGATTGATACTTTTGAAAAAGCCGGGCAAACCGGACCTAGCCCCGTCCTCATACAGACCGATCTGTTTACTGAGTGAAGCGGGGAAAATGTTTGAGCGCGTTATCGTAAATAGGCTAAGCGTATTTCTGGAGCGGACCGAAGGCATAGCCGAATGCCAATTCGGATTCAGAAAGCACCGCTCCACAATAGACGCAATATGGAGACTGCGAGAAAGCGTGGACGAGGGCCTGCGAGACGGGGGCGGGGGTGGTGATGGCGGTGTCGCTAGATATAGCGAACGCCTTCAACACTCTCCCGTGGCCGACTATAAGGGAGGCGCTCAGGGAAAAGGAGGTGCCGGGTTATCTTCGGGCCATCCTGGGCGACTATCTATCGGATAGGGACCTGTCGTACATCGATAGGAAGGACTGCTATAAGCGTAAGGCAGTCACATGCGGGGTTCCACAGGGTTCGGTCTTAGGACCAATCCTGTGGAACATAGGGTATGACTCCATACTGAAACTCAGGCTCCCCGTGGGATGTAGGACGATATGTTACGCGGATGATACCCTGCTGGTCATCAGGGCAGGCACACTCGATGAAGCGATAATTAGAGCGGAGTTGGGGACGGCATACCTGGTCCACGAGATAGAAAGGCTGGGTCTGAGAGTCTCGATACCAAAGACCGAGATCGCGGTGTTTACTAG